GAAAATGAAGTTTTCACTTACCAAAAAAACTCAGAGAATGTTCCTGAAACATAACCAAATGTTCTCCGATAAAAAAACTATTTGGAACAATCTGTGTTTGCTGGGCAATTCGATTAATACGTTTTTATATTATCTCGATGTGATGCTTGCATCTCAGTGCTTGTTAGGAGTGGGCCTTTATACTTTTATCTAAAACTCATACATTAATGGCTAATTTGGATGAGCTTGTACAATCATATTCATATGTTTTCGTCTGATCTTCTCAAGCCCAGTCTCAGCCAGCTGACAGTAGAGTTTTTTTTTTCTTCTAGATTACAAGCTAATTTATATGAATTTGTGATTTTTACATGCCAGTAACGGGCCTTCTTTTTATTTTGCCAATGCGCATTATTGACTAATTTGTATGAAGTAATGCACCTAGCTAATGACTTTTTAAATGGATTTATTTGGTTTTCAGAGTGTTGGCAGTTTCCTTTACATTCCCGCACTGTTTTCTTTTACATTCTTTTTAAGTTGTTATCAAAAAAGTTTATTTTTTTGTTACCAATGTTCCCAAAACATAACCAAGTGTTCTCCAGAAAAATAACCAATTGTTTTGTGTTTGCTGGGCAGTCTCATTCACTCATTTTCATATTATCTCACTGTGTTCACATTTCAGTGGCTGTCAGGAGTGGGCCTTTGTATGCTTATCTAAAAGTAAAACATTAGTTGATAATTTCTTTGATTTTGTATAATCCCATACATATCTTTTCATATGATTTACTCTCACACTGGTGACCGGGACTGACCATGTGCTTTTTTAAATCCTCCTTAAATATGTATTAAGTGGCCAATTTTTATGATTTTTTTTCCATACAATTATAATTTTTTTCTTTGAAAGTTACTATAAGCATTTGTACAAATTGAAGTTGATTGAACATAAAAAAAAGTTAAGTTGTCCACCCCCACCCCCTCCCCCACCCCAAATTTATTATTTTTTTTAATTGTGTTTTGTCAACTAATTTTAAATAAGTTGTTTAAACAAGCAGCAAGTGTCGTTTTTGATTAAGTGTTACCATAGATTTTTCAAAAGTGGTTTAATGGTTATTCATAAATCTCTGAATCAAAAATTTGCAAATGTCTTTATAAGTAACAGATCAAACATGGGAACACTTTACACACTAAAAAATGTATTTTGCTGCTTGTTGAAACTACTTAAAATGAGCTGAAACACAATTCTTGACTTTTTCTGGATAGCTTAATTGTTTTATGTTTAATCCACTTACATTTGTTACCTTACTCTGTTGGGACAACATGAAGGAATTGTGTGGAACCCTGCATTTTTACCAGTGCAGTCTTTTATTTTTCTCTCTGTTTTGCTTTGCTCCCTCTTATGTTCAAGTGTACAAGTGCTTTGAGTGTTTTCTCAGCAGATGGTGGGTTATGGAGGAAATGCCCGTAGAGCACGCAGATGGACGGCTTGGCTTTGTCACGGCCGGCTGCAGTGTGCTCCAGCTCTTCTAAGCTCTGCTTTGCATTTTTAACCGTTGCATCTGCAACTGCAGCAATAATATTACAGTGCACTGTCCTCAACTCAAGGTGCTTGATTAAGACCTGCTCTGGTCTATTCAGTCTCCTGTATGATACGTATTTCGATGTACAGTGGAGAAGAAGACCTGGTGTGTGAATAAGAGAGAGGTGTGTGTGCTGCAGCTGGTGTTGTGAATCAGGCCGATGTCACACGTCAGCGATAACCCGGCTATTTCACAACACCAGGGTGGCACCACACCGCTGCCAACAGTGGAAATCCTGCTGACCAATCACTTCATTCATCCATCCTTCTGATAATACCATTCTTCAAATGTGTTAAGCTTTCTGAACATGTTTTTTTTTTTTAAATAAATAAAACGGTACAACCAAAAGTTTCTCAGTTTTAATGTGTAAAGTCATTCTTCACAGCCATTGCTCCAGTCTTTAGTGTCACATGGTTCAGTTTTTCTGGAGGCCAAAATACATTTTTTTAGGATTAGGTATGCATTAGTTTTTATTCATTCTTAAAAATTTTTAAATGGAAATATACAGAACAGCAGAAATAGATATATCTATATATAATATATATAATGTTCTGATACATTAAAATGATCAAATACATAAGTATAGAATTAAAAAAATAAATGTAAATGAGGAATATTTGAAGTAAAAAGTTAAAGTAAATATAAATTATATAATAATTTGTAGTCTATTACATTCATTTAAAAAAAATGTAACTATTGAAATATTTTACACAACGCACATTGCGTTTGTCCATATTTGACCCAAAATGCTGTGTGAGTTATGATTAACCATCTTTATTTATTTATTTTGGAGTGAACTGAGTTATATATAGATAGATAGATAGATAGATAGATAGATAGATAGATAGATAGATAGATAGATAGATAGATAGATAGATAGATAGATAGATAGATAGATAGATAGATAGATAGATAGATGATACAATAGGCTGCAAACCTGGTATATAGCCTAAAAAAATAACATCAATAGTTGTAAGAAAAAAGCTCATTCAGACTTCATTGTTCAGAATATTTTATTTGTCATTTTAAAGCCTGATTTCTACCAGTTAATAAACGTTTTTATGGTTTTAGCTTTAGTTAACAATAACCAGCAATGTAAAAGTCTTTACTGTCACTTTTGTTTAATTTAATCCACCCTTGCTCAACGTGAGTAGTTTTTGTAAGCAAGTTGGCCTAAATTTTCGCCTATTACAGGCCTACTATTTCCTAATATGTTTCTTATAATGAATGTCCATCTTATTTTTTTACACACGTCACAAACTACAATTGGTTTTGACTGAACAAATCTACCTTTTGTTGTAATTAAGAGCGGGTTTGTGTTAATGTGAGGTTTTGTCAGTGTTTCTAGACGGCAGCCTGAGGGTTCCAGTCTGCCCGTTTAACAATAGTTTTCTGCTTAAGCCCTCGGTGTCTAATAATAGACATTTAATCAAAAACCTGCTTCAAAGGAGCGCACCTGTGGGCACGATTGCAGGATCTGCACTAATTACACTGAAAAGGCTCCACCTTTGGGGCTTCCAGATTAATTTGTGCCGAAATAATGGCTTAACCCGACGCTGCTCGGCGGGTCACATGCACTGGCGGACTTCACTTCTCTCTCTCTTCTCTCTCTCTCTGTTAATGAGGAACCGGCTTCTGCAATGATCAGTGGACGCTGGAGGCTCGAGTCTATCAACCGGAACCACCGCGAGCCGCTGCCCGCCCTGATTCAACCGATACAAGCAAGGTCACTGCATGGAGAAGTCTGCGGTTAACACCAATATAGTGTCTCGGTCAATACTTCAGACTGTTTAGCCTGGCCTGCTCGTGGAGTCTCGGGCAATTAAGTCTATTTAGAAGTAATTTTTCAGACAATTTAAAAAGGAAGACATAAAATAAATAATAATAACAATTCAATAACAATAAAACATGTTTTAAGCGGTTTCAAGACTTGTAGCCTTTTCTGAAGCCTGCAGCGAATAACAAGATAGAGACAAAAATAAAACCTGCCATAAATACACTTAAAGCAATAAGTAGGCTAGGAACTCGTTTTTGAATAGTAGTTAATCAAATTGAGTTAAATTAAACATAAAATGAAAGTAATAATTATGTCAACCAAAAAACGTTCATGTATAAATCATTGTTCTGAACGCTTTGCCATGGTTTGGAGATATGGTGAAGGCTCAACAAAGCCTAAATCAATCAAAAAACATTAAAAAAAAAACATTATAATCACAAGATAGGCTAAAACAAGGCTAAAGTTTTATAGGCTAAAAACAAAACTTGACAATTTTTGTAAATAAGTAGGAACTCGTTTTTAAATAAAATTTAATCAAATTAAGTTAATCATTCTTCTGAAAGTTTTGCCATGGTACAACAATGCTTAATCAATCAATCAAAAATATGAAAAACATATAGAAATGCATGATAAAGTAAAGTGGAACATAACTCCAGAATGATTTAAATTAAATATGAAAACAAATACGAACAGTTTGCCAGTATATTGTTATTTGGCTAGTAATGTTGAAGCATAATGATTACTCACCAAAAAAAAAAAAAAAACACAGGCTACAAAATGCATTGCAATATATACAGTATAAATTATAACTTATATAAATAATTATCTCAATTAAAGAAGCTCATTAAATGTAGAATCCACTGTTATAGAACAAGCTTTATTTCTACCACACCCTGAATAGGTTAAGGAAATTAAATAAAAAAATCTATTAAAAAACATCTAAAATCTTACATTAATTATTCTCAGTTAAATTAACATATTGGGATTAGAAGTCATTATTCAGACTATTGTAATTCAAAATATAACTATTTTTGCTGCTTGTTAAAACTACTTATTTAAAATGAGCTGAATCAGTTGAATTTTTGGAGGGACAACTTTATTGTTTCATGGTCAATCTACTTAAATTCGTAAAAACAATTCAATTAACTTAATTGATTTGTGTTGGGACAACATGAAGGAATTGTGTGGGACCCATAAATATTTTACAGTGTTTGCAAGTCTTACAAATATAGATGTGTGAGTCAAGACTGGGTCAATAGTAAAACACCTTAGAGCCTGATTGCTATCAGGCTGTAAAAAGTTAGTTAAGCCTAATAAAAGAAAATATTCATAGCATAATCCAATAATTCTCTCAATCAAACACACTGACAACCACACAAACTGATCATGTATTGTTTCTCCTGCATGCCACAGGTCAGTTGTCCTTGAGCAGTAAAGTCAAGGATATCTGACCACAGATCTGAGTCATTACATGTCCTGATGATGTTTACAAGCCCCAGTACAAGCTGCGGGCCCTGCAGCAACAATTAGGAATTAATGACCCTCACAAAAGCTCCTGAATATAATTTCACACTAGTCATACATCCATAAGTGGTCCCTTCCGGCTCAGGTATAATAATATAACCCTTCAGCCAAAGCCCTCGCTTTTACTTGATCCAGCAGACCAATGACGGGATGAACCTCCAAAGCGCAAGAAGCCCATTTTCAGTCTCCTCGCTGAGCAATGGAGACGACCGTAAGTTCAGTTTGGGTGGATGTAGCAGTTATGACACTGACAGCGTGGCCTCACGCAGCTCTGGTGTCTTTTCTGGATATGACACGCTGGATGCACCACCGAGTTACGACTTCTACACCAACACTGAGGTTTTCGGGAGAGCCAAGAAATCCAGACCATCTCTCTTTGAGCTGCACTCCAACCCTCAGGTACAGTAGGAATGACTTACCTGTACAATATTATCATTCCAATATTGTAAGGAAAGTCAGTGATGATTCCACAAAGGAAGGGACTTTTATTATTATTGTTTTTATTTGTGTGTGTGTGTGTGTGTGTGTGTGTGTGTGTGTCAGGATGACCCCTCTCCACCTCCCCTGTATGAGGAGTCCAGTGTGGACAAACAGAGTCCAGAGGATGAAGATGAGCCCACTGAACCACCTCCAGAACCCGCTCGCTTTGGATGGGCTCAAGGAGTTATGGTATGAGGACAAACTCAAAAAAAAGAAGATTTTTGCTGCTTGTTCAAACTACTTATTTAAAAAAGCTGAAACAACACAATTCTTTAAGTTTTTTGGGACAACTCATTTGTTTTATGTACAATCCATTTAAATTTGCAAAAATGATTAAGTTAACTTATTCGATTTGTGTTCAATATGAAGGAATTGTGAGGAACGCAGTTTTTTATACAGTGTTTAACATGATGCTTGTAGGGTCCCACTTGGTTATACAGAAATGCAATTCCAATACATTATGAATATGTATTTGCAAAGAAATGGTGCTGTTTGAGTCCCAGTTGGCATTTCTGTGTGGAGTTACATGTTCGTCTGGGTTTCCTCAGTGTGGTATAAGTAAATTAAATATACTAAATTGACCGAAGTGTTTGAGAGTGTGTGTATATGGGTGTTATGCTGGATAAGTTGGCGGTTCATTCCGCTGTGGCGACCCGTCATGAACAAAGGGACTAAACTGAAGGAAAATGAATGAATGAGTCTTTCTATAGATCTAACATAACTTTTTAAAACTTTGTATAATCTTATGGTGATTTTTAGTTGATAAATTTATGTTTCTACGGTAACACTTTACAATAAGGTTCATTAGTTAATGCATTTACTAACATGAACTAATCATGAACAACACATGTACAGCATTTATTAATCATATTTGAACATTTAATAATACATTATTAACATTTAAGTCCATGCTTGTTAACATTAGTTAATGCACCATGAGTTAACAAACTAACAATTAACAACTGTATTTTCATTAACTAACGTTAATTAAAATGAATAAATACTGTAGTAAATGTATTGTTCAGTGTTTGTTCATGTTAGTAAATGCATTACTTTACAGTAACTAATGAACCTTATTGTAAAGTGTGACCTCTATTGTTTTAACAATTTAAAGCTGATAAGCCTGTTTTTGGCAATAACAATGTTATTTTGAATCTTTGTCTCACTAATCACTCTTTTCTCACATTTCTCAATTTAAAAATACTTCTCTCAATTCTGATATAATATTGATAAATAAAATTAAGATCTGTGACTTTTTAACTCATAACCGTAAGACATAAACTCATTTCTGAGATTTTGTTTTTCAAATCGTGAGACAAAAAAAAAACAATTGCCACAAATGTGAGATGTACAAACTGTGAAGCCCTAATTGCAAGATATTGATAAGCAATTTTGAATAAAAATATTACTTATAAAATTTTTTAAAAATGTGTTAGAATAAGTTTATAGCTCATTACTAAAATAGCATTTCTGAGAAGTAAATTCAGAATTGTGAGATAAAACAAGACATTTTACGTCAATTGCAAATAAAAAAATAGCAAGTTGCAAGTATATAATATAAACTCACACTCACATCATAGAAGAGTCTGAATCATGAGATGCATTTCTGAAAGAAAAAAAGGCAGAAATGAGATCTATAAAAGCGACAATTACCTTTAATATTAATCATCCTCTGGCAAGCTCTCATAATCTCATTTTTTTGTTGATCACTTTGCCCGAAAATAATTTTGTTTTTAAAAGAATATTTAGGCAAATTCATCCATTTTGGGTGTTTTAATTGTGTTTGTAAATGGGTTAAAAAATACAATTCTTCAAACAGCTAAGTGAAGTTAAACAGAAATCATTTACTCGTTGTGTTACTCTGCTGGAGCATCACCGTCTTCTTGTACTCCCTGTAGATCCGCTGTATGCTGAATATCTGGGGTGTCATTCTGTACCTGAGGCTCCCCTGGATCACAGCTCAGGCAGGGATAGGTATGTCAATCTCTGTTGTTATACAGTATGTCTTGATCCCTGTTTGTGTGTTTTAGCATCAAATTCCCTCGAGACTTTTTTAGAAAACCCCTTAGGGCTGTTAAATCATATGCTGTGAGAATCTGCTGTGTGTCAGAGTTTTGTAATGCATTTTATTAAAGTGAACATGTTCCTCTTCACTTCAAAGGTCTGACTTGGATTATAATCTTGGTCTCCTCCTCTATAACGGGCATAACTGGCTTGTCCACATCGGCCATTGCTACTAATGGCAAAGTCAAAGGGGGTAATTACAGTTTAATAAATAAAGATTTGACACGTATGATTACCAAACAATATACTTAACATGATTACTGTCTTTTAAATCTCACAGTATTGTTTTTTTTATGTTTAATAATGTAATAACCATCATAAATCAGCACTGAGTACCTATACTTTGTTTTTTTTCCAGGTGGAACATATTTTCTGATCTCTCGGAGTTTGGGTCCAGAACTTGGTGGCTCGATTGGGCTTATTTTTGCTTTTGCGAATGCTGTGGCTGTAGCCATGCACACAGTGGGATTTGCCGAAACGGTGCAGGTACTCATGCAGGTGGGTGATATATATATACACAGACTAATTCTGACCCATCATAATAATATGGGTATTGATTAATATGGGTATTTTTTTAGGATTGAACTATAAAGCACTGTTGAGGTGGCAGGTTATATGGATAGGGATATAGCAACTGAAGTTTGTTTGTACACAGTGCAAACATTTTACTGAAAGTCTAATCTAATAAAAGTGTTTAACTAATAATCTAATAACATTAAATATTAAGTGTCTTAAAAATATGTGCTCATTTTATTAATTTTACAGGGTTGTTTAGTTTGTAACTAAACTGAGACCAACTATAAAAGCAGACACTGTCGCAGGAGAACCACTGAAACTTTATGCTCTGAACCACTGATTTAAATCAAAGATTTGAGTATTAATAAAGTAGTGGTTGTTTTTGAAAGGAGACATCAGTATTCACTATAGTGGATGCCCTTGGCATTAGTATTTTTTTAAAGAGTAATAAATATACATTGAATTGTAATTACATGGCACATCGCCTTTTATGCATATTTTCCTCACATAAACCACTAAAGAGAAATTTTGAATTATCTGCTTGTTGCCTGGTTTTGAATGAAAGGGTTCAAAAAGCACTTTTTATAATGAGTTTAAACACAGTTGTGTAGCACTGTGTGTGGCCACTTTATTAGGTACACCTGTTTACACATTGTTCAATCACATGGGAGCAACTCAATGCATTTAGGCGTGTAGACATGGTCAAGACGATCTGTTGCAGTTCAAACCGAGCATCAGAATAGGGAAGTAATGTGATTTCAGTGACTTTGAATGTGGCATGGTTGCTTGGTGCCAGATGGGCTGGTCTGAGTATTTTAGAAACTGCTGATCTACTGAGATTTTCACGCACAACCATCTCTAGGGTTCAGAGAATGGTTCAAAAAAATTGAAAATATCCAGTGAGCAGCAGTTCTGTGGGCGCAAATGCCTTGTTGATGCCAGAGGTCAGAGGAGAATGGCCAGACTTGTTCCAGCTGATAGAAAGGCAATAACTCAAACAACCACTCGTTATAACCACGGAACATGGGGAAAACCCGACTCATTAGAGACAATCTCTTTCTCATTAGCATAGACAGCCCTTAGTGAGAAGCAGCCGACCAGCTTTATCGTTTTGAATCTGCTGCTATGCTGACACATATGCATTTGTAGCTCCACCCTTGTTTGACAAGAACACAATCTTAATTGAATTTAAAGCGACAGTCAACAAAATGGCACCAGTCTAAAAGGGGCAGTTTCAAAGAGTTATAGAATTATATGTGCGCTATTTTGAGCTGAAACTTCGCATACACACTATAGATACATCAAACTCATTTTACATCCTGTAAAAAGGAGCATAATATGTCCCCTTTAACATAAAATGTTCATTTCTTGTTCCCTTTAATTGATTATTTCCCATGTCTGAACCATTTTTCTGATTCCTAACAGGAGACTGAGGTTAGCATGGTTGACAAGCTTAACGATATCCGCATCATCGGAGTGATCACTGTCACCTGCCTGCTGGCCATCTCAATGGCTGGAATGGAATGGGAATCCAAGGTTTGTTTCACAAAGAAAGCGATTTTAAGCAGTGTACCTAGTTATCTTGCTAAAATCAGCGTTGCTTTTGTTTCTCTCCCAGGCCCAAGTCTTGTTCTTCTTTGTCATAATGATATCCTTCGCCAGCTACATCATTGGAACCATCATACCAGCCACACCACAGAAGCAAGCCAGAGGATTTTTCAGCTACCGAGGTCAGAGTGCAGTGCAGTCAATATGTTGCACAAATTTGCTAATAATAACACTCCATCCTCATTTTCTGAGTGCTAATCAGATTACGCGACCATATGTTCCTCCTAAAATGTCTCAATTTGTGCCCAATAGCTGATATTTTTGCGACAAACTTTGTGCCCGGCTGGCGTGGACCGGAGGGCAGTTTCTTTGGCATGTTTTCCATCTTCTTCCCCTCAGCTACAGGCATCCTTGCGGGGGCTAATATCTCCGGAGATCTGAAGGCAAGTTGAGCTCCAAGTCACAGTAACGTCTCTTCCAATTAAGTGCATTTGCAGACCTCTCAAAGCTTTCTATTTTCACAAACAAAACTTCCTGTAGGATCCAAATGTCGCTATACCTCGTGGAACAATGCTGGCCATTTTTTGGACCACTGTGTCTTATCTTATCATCTCAGCTACCATTGGTAAGTGTGGGAGTTGTCTAACAACAAAATACCTAACCTGTTGATTTTTCTGTGCCCAAAATCACATCCAGTTACATGCACAGTGATATGAAGTCCCTGTTGGTGTGCTCTTTAATGCATTTCAGGCTCCTGTGTGGTGCGTGATGCTTCTGGTGATGTGAATGACACCATATCATCATTGACTGGGGAGTGTCTGGGAGTGGGCTGCAACTATGGCTGGAACTTTACTGACTGTATGACCAACAACACCTGCACTTATGGACTCAGCAACTATTACCAGGTGCCGCTGGAGAAACAAAAATACACACAATTGATCTTTTCTATACAGTATAACAGACAACTATGGTGCATTAATGGGAAATGCTCCTATATATTGACCCAGCCAATAATAAGTCATTTAGACAGAATAATTTAGCTTTGATTTAACATATAAAATGAATGATATTAGGAAAATAATTGGAAATATAACTAAATAAGTAAAAATATATTTATTATATATTAATATATTAATTGATTATTATTAATATCATTATTATTATTATTATCATTATTATTAATAATACTATTCGGTACACCTGTTCAACTATTATGTAGCATTCATATCTTATCAACTAATTAAATGGAAACCGCAACCTAAAATATTTGGACATGAAAACATGGTCAAGACAGTCGTTTATTTGTTTAAATTGAGCATTTGAATGAGGATCGAGGGTGATATAAATCTGTGTTTCTCAACCACGTTCCTGGAGGACCACCAACACTGCACATTTTTCATGTCTCCTCAACCAAACACACCTGATTCAGATCATCAGCTCTTTAGCAAAGAGCTGTAAGGGGTGACACAATGGCGCAGTGGATAGCACTTTTGCCTCACAGCAAAGTTGGTTGGGCCCCGTCTGGGCCAGTTGGCATTTCTGTGTGGAGTTGTGCATGTTCTCGCGGGTTTCCTCCTGGTGCTCTGTTTCCTCATAGTCCAAAGACATGCAGTACAGGTGAGTTCAATAAAAATAAAATGGCCGTAGTGTATGTGTGAGTGTAAATGCAAGAGAGTATGGGTGTTTCCCAGTGCTGGGTTGCGGCTGGAAGGCCATCCGCTGCGTAAAATGAGCAGGATAAGTTGGCGGTTCATTCTGCTGTGGCGATCCTTGATTAATAAAGGGACTAAGCCGAAAAGAAAATGAATGAATGAACAAAAAACATGTAATGGGTGTGAGACATCCATGTAGTGTTGGTGGTCCTCCAGGATCGTGGTGGAGAGACACTGATTTAAATGACTTTTAATATGGCTGTTGTTGCCAGACAGGCTGGTTTGAATTTTTCAGAAATTGCTAGAATCTGCACACCCAACTCTAACTCTAACATAAATTTAAAAGCAATAGTCTGGAAAACAGAAAACATCCAGTGGCAGTTCTGTAGGGTAAAAGGCCTTGTTGATGCCAGAGGAGTAAACATACACCCATACACACACACAGGTCTGCTAGTCTGTTTTGACTGCTGAATCACAATCATGTCCCCTATGTGATGAATACAGTATTATTAATCAGGGTTTCCCAAACTTTTCAGCCCGCGACCCCCAAAATGACAATGCCAGTGACTTGCGACCTCCAATATCCTCTGAGGTCGTATTAAATACAGAAACCTGGCATGCAATGGTGCACACACACCAATAGACACAAGTCTATTCTTTGTTTAATTTTTATAATGTATGTCAGTGCTGTAAACGGGCCAGAAACTTTAACCTGGTGTTATAAAACCAATCTGCTGCATCTGACGCTATTGCTGTGTCTTTAATATAATGTTATTACCCCAGTAGTCGCAATCCAATAGAACTAGTAACTATAAGCTACTATAGTAACTATATAGTATATAGTACCTATAAACGACTATTTTTTCTCTTCAGTAGGTTATGGATAAAATGCAATAACTCTTATGGTTAAATAAATAGATTTTTGGAAAACACCAGGCGACCCCCCTTCGTTGTCCTGCGACCCCTCGGGGGGTCCCGACCCCCACTTTGATAACCACTGTTATAAATGATTCATTTTTCTGTCATATTTGATTTCAGAGTATGAGCATGGTTTCTGCAGTCGCTCCTCTGATCACTGCTGGGATTTTTGGAGCCACCCTTTCCTCAGCCCTAGCCTGTCTGGTGTCCGCTCCTAAGGTTTTCCAGGTAAGGCTGTCATCTTGAACATCTTTATTCATTCCTCAATTATATCATCCTCAGTATTTTTTACTAATATCTTTTCTGATCCTCGTTGCCCTATAGTGCCTTTGCAAGGACAAACTGTATCCAGGCATTGGATTTTTCGGGAAAGGTTATGGGAAGAATAACGAACCACTGAGAAGCTACTTGCTAGCTTATATCATTGCTATATGCTTTATTCTTATTGGTAAACAACTTAAAATTTACTTGAATACTGTATTAATAAATCTGTTTCTTTATTGAAGCAATTTCCAAATGTTGTCATTTATATTTTAGCCGAGCTGAACACCATTGCTCCCATCATTTCCAACTTTTTCCTCTGCTCCTACGCCCTCATCAACTTCAGCTGTTTCCATGCCTCAATAACTAACTCACCAGGTAAACCAATACATTAAACCAATTAGGTTAAACTAACACTTTATGATGCAGTATGTGTGTTTATTTTTTAATAGTGGCTTGTTAATGGGTTCAGTGGTGCACACAATAACCACCGCAGGCTCACTCAGTTGATATAATGACTACAACGCAAACAAATTTAGTTTTCCGGCAGTAGTTTTATATTTTTATTTCAGTCATTTGTATTCTCATAAACCAGCATGCTACAATAAACTCACAGGTCTCGAAATAGCCATACTCATTCTGATGCTCACTGAAGCATTCTCGTGTGTTGTGTGTGTGTGTGTGTGTGTGTGTGTGTGTGTGTGTGTGTGTGTGTGTGTGCGCAGGCTGGCGTCCAACTTTTCGATTTTACAGCAAGTGGTTGTCTTTGCTGGGAGCGGTAGTGTCTGTGATCATCATGTTTCTTCTGACCTGGTGGGCTGCTCTCATAGCCATTGGCATAGTCATCTTCCTGCTGGGATATGTGCTGTATAAGAAACCTGGTAAGACACCTACACTCATTAAAGCTTGTGAACACATGACTTTGACAGAAACAATTTGTTTCATGAAACTCATATTATTCCATCTAGCATTTCACCTAAAGCTAAATGAGTGTAATATTGGCAGGCTGTCCCGCAGTGCTTAAGTGCATCCGTATTTTTTACATTGCAGAAGTCAACTGGGGTTCATCAATGCAAGCCAGCTCTTATAACATGGCACTGTCCCAGTGTGTGGGTCTTAATCAAGTGGAAGACCATATTAAAAATTACAGGTGGGAACAGTACTGTCCACAAATCAGATTTCCATGTTGTGGTTTATTCAGAATATTACATTCCTCTTTCTCCCTGCTTCTATTCTCACTTTTTGTCGTTTCTTTCTGTGTCCTACTTTTTTCCATCTGTTCTTTTTCTCAGGCCACAGTGTTTGGTCCTCAGTGGGCCTCCCTGTGCGCGGCCTTCCCTAGTGGATTTTATCGGTGCCTTCACCAAGAACCAAAGCCTGATGATATGCGCAAATGTCCTTGCAGTGAGTTCATGCATAGAAACATTTAATGTAAAATATACAATAAATATATTGACTCTGTATACTCTCAGTAGCGGAAGACATCATAGCTGGGTAAACTTAGTAAGTAGTGAATGGGAGAGTACAACAAATCATTTTTTACAATCCTATTTGCTGAAATAACAAAAGAAAAACTTTACAATGGCGTTATTAGGAAAAAAATTGTGTGAGACTGATAACCACAGCCAGAGGAGAGAAGCCCCATAGACGCTGCATTAGAAACACCTCACATAAGCGGTACTTTGTTGTAATTTGACGCAAAGATACATTTATTAATGCTTTTTTAAATCAGCATATTAAAATTTTTTAAAAGATTTAAGATTATGATGACTATTAAACGCGTCATAACAGGCTTGTGAAAGGGTCCACAGCCTTATAGGCAGTGCACCAACATATAGTGTCATTACTCTTTGGGCATTCCAAGTACCTCTCCAGATCCTGTCCCACCCTCTCTCTCCAACTTCATGGCTACTTACTGTCTGTCCTAACACAATAAATACAAACACCAATACCAAAAATAAATCAATCTTACAGTATTGACCTTATTCTTGACGTTCGAGCAGGAACAGCCATTGGAATGTTTTAGGCTTAAGACTTCCAGGCTCATTCACTTTCATTGATTTCTAGAGGTAAAAACATCTCGTTATGTTGTTTCATGTTGCAAAACTGACATTTTCATATTATATTATTCTGCTTTTTATGTGTAGTCGTGAACACACTTGTTTGTAGAGCGAGTAGTTTGACCGTTTTCTGCTGTTTATTATTATTAGTCATTTCTCCCTTAGGCAACTGAATGAAAAGTTCTAAAACAATCGCAAAACATAGTGCACATCCATACTGTACACCAGTGGTCACCAAAATTGTTCCTTGAGGGCCAGTGTCCTGCAGATTTTTGCTCCAACCCTAATCAAACACACCTGAACTAGCTAGTCAAGCTCTTACTTGGTATACTTGAAACATCCAGGCAGGTGTTTTGAGGCAAGTTGGAGCTAAACTCAGCAGGGACACCGGCCCTCCAGGACCAGGATTGGTGACCCCTGCTGTACACTAAGGTCAATATATATAAATATATATGTTTTATTATGGCAGATCATTTAGCTGTGATAACCCCTGGTAAACCAGGGAATAAGCTGAAGGAAAATGAATGCCATTAATGAAATTAATGCTTTAATATATATATATGAGCAATATCCCACAAGCAGCAATGTGATGTGGCTGTATTTTGGCACTGGTGGGAGGCATGCACAGCTTCATGCCGTAGTGTCCCACAAGTGACGATATACAGGCACATCGCCCTGTGTTATTGCATTTATGCAACAGTTTGATGGCATAATCGTGTATAAATAAAAGAAAAGCAAAAACGGAGAGTCTAAAAATCCTTTTGAATGAGGAAATATTTTCTTCTGCCACGTATTCACATCTGCAGAAGCCGTTACTACTTCACAAACATTACTTTAGAGTTGGTATTTGAATGATTCTCTTGCGTAATGTCTAAAGTGATGACAACAGAGGTGATTTTGCTCACATTTTAAGATTATGAGACTAAACAGCATGAAATGTCATCCGTTTACAGAAATATCTACCTGTATTTCTCTGTTGCAATCGGGACATCATAATAATTAACCCCAAAAAAGCCAAAGCAGCGCAAAAACTACCAGATTGCTGTTGTGTTTGCGATAAGAAAAAATGCTAAACACATGCGAGCATTTCTTCTTTCTTTCTTTTTACTGAACTAGTCTGCAGTCACGAAAGCAGAAGACTCATTAGAAACAAACAGATGGCCAGCTAAAAAGTAACTCAAGGTTATACGAAGAGTGGCCAACACAAAATACATACATTGCTAATATGTGAGTCCCATCTCACACCCAACACACTACAATTACTATGGTGTAAATAAAGCACGACAACATACAAAAAAGAGATATCGACTTAGAAAGTCACTTGCCAGTTTTATAATGTTTTGATCAGCTGTAGTTTAAAATTACGCTGGGTTCTGTCCTCTAGGGCTTATTATGCAGTCTCTGTCGCCATCTTGTGGATGAACAACATCAATCTTTTTGCTCTGTTCAATGACAGGCTAATGGCCGCCGATGTGCTGTCTCTCAGAAATTATGTTTAAAAATAAGCACTATCCTTGTAAATATTTATTAAAATATTTATAATTATTTATTTAGCTTTATATATATATATATATATATATATATATATATATATATATATATATATATATATATATATATATATATATATATCATCAAAGAAGATACATTGCTCATTTTGCTTCTTTTTTGTGTATTTTTATAGTTATATCTTTATCGTTACACTTCATCTCTATAACTATATTTCTTTGTAATATCAATGTCCTCTTTGACTGATTGTGTGTTGTGGACAGAGTGGACCCTCGCCTGGCACCGCAGACTCCATGAGCAGTACTCATTTAAAATGGTTAAACAATCGGAAGATAAAGTCCTTCTACCACACCGTAGTGGCTGATGATCTTCGTACCGGCGTACAGATGTTGCTGCAGGTCACCCATGCCCCATAACGCACTACACTCATACTCCAACCTCCAACCTTACTTTACTTTTTACCTTCTGATAAAGCTGCATCACCAAAACCAATCTGGTAAAGTCTGTTTATGACGTTTTTATTATAGAGTACGGGTTTGGGTCGGATGAAGCCTAATGTCTTAGTGATGGGATATAAAAAGAACTGGCGTAAAGTTCAACCAGGCATTATTGAAAACTACGTTGGAATTTTGCAGTATGTATCCCACATAATTTCTTGTTCCTTCAATGTTCAGTTCTGGTTTTCAAAGTCAAGGTTTGTGATCGTTCCATATATTTTCAGTGATGCATTTGACCTGCAATATGGTGTTTGTGTTCTTCGAATGAAGGAGGGTCTTGACATAACTCGAACAATCCAAGCTCAAGGTACAGAAACTCCCATTCTACAATTTGTTTACGTTTTTTAAAGTAGTTAATTGCTTATTTTGAAATTTCTTTTGTGCTGTAGTAAATCTAGGATTTGAAACATCTACTGAACAAGGACTTGACACAAACTCAACAGCTCCTACATCACCCACAATTGAAGCATCATGTGTGTATTGAAAGTCTTTAAAAAAAATTTAAAACTATTATTAATTACTCACCCTTCGATTCTCGTTCATCTTTAGATCACAATTTATGATATTTAGATGAAATTTGAGAGCTCCCTCATCTTCCATAGACAGTAACAATCCTGAGATGTTCAAAGTCCAGAAAGCAAAAAAACTTTCAGAACATTCCACGTGACTTCAGTATAGATCAACGCTGAAATGTCAAAATTAATATTCTCAATATCAATATCATAGGTACTTACAAAATATTGTAAATAAGTATTTAATAATTAAAGAGAGCTTTTAAAAAATATTCACATTGTATGTTCAGAGGTGTGCTCAAAAGTAGATTTGGTTCTTTTTTGGACTTATCTACAGAGATTGAGGGAGTTCACAATTTGTGTTTCGAAGATGAACGATGAAGATGAAGGTTTCTGGGGTTTGAAATAACATGGGTTGAGTAATTAATAACACAATTTTTCTGTGAACTTAAATACTAAATTCATCAATTATTAATTAAATTTATTATTGACCATTGATGTCTTTGCTAAAACATTAGTCTCCTGTGTTGCAGTGGATCCTGAGACTCTAATGGCCCTGACGCAGCCCAGCACTTTATTTCAGACTAGACAAGGAAAGAAGACCATTGATGTGTATTGGCTTTCCGATGATGGCGGTGAGATTAGTAGATACACAAAAAATGTGTTTTTTTAATGACTGGCATGCCAATTTTAATTGAATGTATTGTCAGGTTTGACACTATTGATCCCTTACCTCTTGACCCGTAAGAAGCGCTGGGGAAGATGCAAAGTGAGGGTGTTTGTTGGAGGTGAAGCTCAACAGATTGAAGAACAGAAAAAGGAGTATGTACCGACTTAATTGTGATATTACTGTTTAAAATGTATTAATAAACTGTCCATGTTGCAAACATACACACACCTAATAAAGTGGCCGGTGAGTGTATATTGCATGTAAATATAGTTTAACATTCAAAAGTTTGGAATTAGTGAAGTTTTTAGTTATATTGTTACTAAGTCTACATTAACTGAATGTTATTACAAATATAGTAAGACAAGGATTATTTTAAAAATATTAATAAAAATGAAAACCACTAGTTTACTCCTGATGACAAAAGTAAAAAAAGAAATATTCATTCATTCATTTTCTTGTCGGCTTAGTCCCTTTATTAATCTGGGGTCACCACAGCGTAATGAACCGCCCACTTATCCAGCAAGTTTTTACGCAGGGGATGCCCTTCCAGCCTCAACCCATCTCTGGGAAACATCCACACACACATTCACACACGCACACTCATACACTATGGACAATTTAGCCTACCCAATTCACCTGTACCGCATGACTTTGTACTTTGGGGGAAACCGGAGCACCCGGAGGAAACCCACGCGAAGGCAGGGAGAACATGCAAACTCCACACAGAAACGCCAACTGAGCCGAGGTTCGAACCAGCGACCTTCTTGCTTTGAGGCGACAGCACTACCTACTGTGCCACTGCCTCCCAAAAAAATAAAAATAAAATAAATATATATATATATATATATATATATATATATATATATATATATATATATTTTTTTTTTTTTTTTTTTTTTTTTTCACTTTTATTATATAATATATATTTTCACTTTTTCAACAGAATGTGACCTTGAAAAAGCATATTTCTTTTTGTCAAATATTTTCTCAAATTTGCATTAATGTATATTGTTAAATTGTTACTCAAATTTATTATGTAATATAATACAAAATATTGATTATACATTGTTGTTTATTACATTTATTTATATATAAATAGTAATCTACAAATAATTTAATCGATAATTATTTGTTATTTTATTAATCTAATAATTCTAACAATATGAATTTCAATGTTCCTCAATAAATTATTAGTCATTGCTTGCATTTGTCATTGAACAGGCTCAAAGGTCTGATCAGCAGGTTCCGTCTGGGTTTCAAGGATATTCAAGTTCTTCCAGACATCAATGGAGCTCCGCAGTCTGAACAGTACGGTTTCATTCATTCCATTCTTCCAGCAACTATCTGCACTGACCTATTCAACTAAAGGAGAAAGTATTTCTATTAAACTAAATGTATTTCTGTTTCCAAATGACTGAATCAGCATTAGAAAGTTTGAAGACTTCATAGCTCCGTATAGAGTAAGCTCAGTCCAAAAGGACGGCCAAGAAGCCGATGAGGCAACAAAGGAATTCTCCTGGATGGTGTCTGATGAGGAAATGGAGACGTTTAAAGCTAAGGTCATTTGGTTCAATTTCAGTTTTAAAAATGCTTTCTTGGTAATCCATAGGTCATATTTTTAGTCAACTTTTTTGCTCTGTGTTTGTGTAGTCTCTTCGACAGATCCGGCTGAATGAAGTTATTCAAGATTACTCGAGAGATGCTGCACTGATCGTTGTGTGAGTGGTTTTTCTAAATCATATAGTGCCATTATGTAATTTACATTACATAAAAACTACAGGGATCAACTAGCTTTGTGCATGCGACTTTCTGACCTGTCAGTTTTCTGTATATTTTGTTTGGCAGGACAATGCCGGTGGGGCGAAGAGGGTCATGTCCTAGTCCTCTTTACATGGCTTGGCTAGAGATTGTGTCGCGTGATCTTCGACCCCCAGTCCTTCTTGTCCGAGGCAATCAGGAGAATGTGCTGACGCAATACTGCCAGTGATCGCCACCTTTTCCTGACAAAAACATTTACACATGTATAGCAGATGAAAAAAACTAGTCAATCACCTGTTAAACTGACGAGAGATGCTTTCATATTGTTTCATACTTGTCTTGTTGTTTATAGGGTGCTTGTCTGAATTGGTTTAACCTTTTATTACCTTATTACTGTGAATATTACTCACTTTCTCCATATGCAAGAATTCAGACAAGACTATTCAAACTATTTCCTCCTAAAACCACAAATTAACTGTTGTTTTAAATCACTTGAATCATTGATATTGATTATTGTAATGCAATGATTGAACAGTTTGCATATGTATATACTTTTCTCTGTTTAATGAGATCTTTTATAATATAATGTACATTTAAGAAACTACTTATGTATGGAATCTGTCAACTATAAGAGTCATTTTATTTTGCTTGAGTAAACTTGACGAAAAATGTGTTGTCTTGTTGAAATGGTGTGTTTAGACTGTGTGTGGCTGACCTAAATAACCATTTAAACAGAAAGCAGACATTTTGTGTTCTCAAACTAGCTATTTTTCCACTTTTAATCTTTCTTTTAACGTTTTGTTAGATAACTGGTGATGTTTCACAGTGAAGCAGGATTTAGGGGAGACGATGCAGGCAAAAACATGAATCTCTTAAATGAATCTGTCATTTTGAGATTTTGTTTATTGTTTTTCAGTCTTTTGTTGCACCCTGTTCATTTGTGTGTGGATTTCAAATAAAATACATATTTGTAGAGACTGTTCTCTCAAAATTATAATTTTTTTTCTGTTGGGCTGAGCCATAAATCTCCACTTCAGCAGGACTTACATACACCGAACACTACAGTTTTATTCATACAATCTGCACAAAAGTTGTGTCACCTATCCATGTTTTAGGGACAACATAACAACTTGACTTCTAGTTGATCATGTGGTATTAGAAGTGGCTTATATGAAAGGCAAAGGCCTCTAGATTACGCTTATTTTACCAAAATAAAATATGATCATGCCTTGATTTTTAATTATTTAATTAGGACAGTAAAGTCTGACTTTGCCCAAAAGTCTTGTCACTTAACAGAATTAATGTACAGTGTAGAATATAAAGTCATTCTGCAGTAAAAAAAGCATTAATATTGTGTATGACTCACATGAGCTTAAAGGACTGCATCCATACATCTCAGCAATCACTCAAATAACTTTTTTATAAAGTCTGGAATGGCAAAGAAAGCGTTCTTGATGGACTCCCAGAGTTCATCAAGATTCTTTAGATTTCTCTTCAGTGTCTCCTCCATTTTACCCCAAACATGCTTAATAATGTTCATTTCTGGTGACTGGGCTGGCCAGTCCTGGATCACCTTGACCTTCAATCCTGGAACACCTTCAGGAACTTTGATGTGGAGGCTGAAGTATGAGGAGTGTTATATCCTGATGAAGAATTTGCCCTCTCCTGTGGTTTGTAATGTAATGGGCAGCACAAATGTCTTGATACCTCAGGCTGTTGTTGTTGCCATCTACTCTGCAGATCTCTCACACACTCCCGATACTGAATGTAACCTCAAACCTGGACTTTTACTTCACCAACTTGACTGATTTTTGTGAGAATCTTGGGTCAGTGCGGGTTACAATAGTTCTTGTGCAATATTTGTGATGATTGGAATACAGTTCAACAGATGATTCACCAGAAAAATCTACCTTCTGCTACTTTTCCAAATGATCAACTAGAAGTCAAGTTATAATTTGTTGCTCTCACAACTTGGATCTACAACAATTCTTTTGTCAGGCAGTGTATCTATATTCTAAAGGTTTTTACAGATGGATCTTGATACATGATACTGGATACAACGGTATACTCCAAAAGAATTTTGAAAAACCAATTTGTTTTTATGGCTGTTCCCAGTATTTTTTTAAAAGAGTAGTTCACACAAACATTAAAATTTACTCCACTTACTCGCCTTCAAATGTTTCCATTCCTTTAAGTTTCTTTCTGCTGTTGAACAAACTTAGGTTTTGCAAAAATGCTAGAAACGTATAACTATTGACTTCCATAGACGGAAAAACAAATACTATGAATGTCAATGGTTACAGGTTTCCAACATTTTTCAAAATAGCTATTTTGTGTTTAACCGCAGAAGTTTGTGACAAGTGAAGAATGAGTAACTGATGACAGAATTTTCAGTTTTGGAACTAACTTTTCCCTTCATTTAATGTGTGATTAAAAGGGATTCCTAAAATCCCATCTGTAAAACCCTTAACTCTAACAGTTTTGACAAAAGGTTGAAAGCTACTTCATCCAATGTTGATTTGTTTTGTGTGTGTTAGAAATAAAAGCTATTTAAGCAGTAACATTTAATCAATCATCCCATTCGCATACAAAAGGTGTCGTTTGTGACCTGTTTTGTGTAACTTCAACTGGAGAGGTAGAACTCATTTACCTGCAGTATCATTTGAAAGGTAGTCGTGGAATTTACCTTATAACACACGTTTAATACCCATACTTTCTGTACATTTCTGTAGTTAGACTACACACAGCACAATGTCATCTGATGCAATCACAACAACGTGATAAAAAAAACTCCGCCGACGAATTGCCAGTGCGCATGCGCAGTGCGTGGGGCTTCAGGACAGGCTCCACGTCTGAACACGAGCTCATCTCGGCCAATCAGAGGCGGCCACAGTGTGTTTGGAAACAACACACGCAAATACTTCACGGCTTATGAGCAGCCTCCTGAAACTTCTTGAATCAGGAACCTCTGCCTTTGCCTAGCGTGTGTTGTCCTTGTGTCTGTTTAAATCGATACGCATCCGTTCTCACTTTAGATATTTCATGCGCGTCTTAATATAGTTTGATTAAAAAGGAAGAATGGAAAATTCTACGGTGTTTGATAAAGAGACGATCTCGCTGGTCATTAAAACGCCTAATCAGTTTCACGGAGATCAGCTGATTGAGGGAGTTCGCGCGGACTGGACCGTGAAAGACCTCAAATGTCACCTCTCCAAGGTTTATCCCAACAACCCGGTAGGTCTGAATGGTTTCCTTATCGTGTAGATATCGGTTTACATGTCAGCAGTCGTCGGCATTCCTCAACACACAACACAAATCCTCCTTGGCTGAGCGCTGCTGGAAATAGCCGTCTGTCAATAGGCCATTTATGTAAACAGAGAAGGAATTTTTCTTCACATAAGTCTGGACCGCTTTCATGTGGTATAAAAGTATTATTTTACCACAGTGTTCGTCTATTTTGTACTTAATTGCACATGACGGAAGTAAATTCAATGGAATAACTTTATTCTGTAGAGATACACTGCATTCGTTTCCTCTTAAATGGTTTTACTTCTCAAAAGCAAGTATAAAATGGCGTACTAAGTGCTGTCTGTTGTTTTGACTTCTTTTCTTACAGGCTGAGAAAGACCAGAGACTCATTTACTCAGGCAAGCTGCTTCTGGACAACCTGCTTATCAGAGATGTTTTCTCAAAGGTAAAGGACTTTCCTTTGTGGTTATTTCAGGGTTGACAAATGACTTCAACAACATGGCTGTATACGTCATTTAATGTCATGTAGTTTAATATACATAATGTATATGTGTTTACCTAAACTTTGTTGAACCTTTGCCTGCTTTTAACAAGATTAATTAAAATGCATTTAATTTGAATTCAAGATATTTTAGTTGAGTAATTATTAAACATTTGTTTAAACAAATAATTAATTTTCTTTCAATTTAATAATACATGTAATTAAAAAAAGCTTATACAAATAAATAATGTACATTTTTAAACATTTGTTTTGAAACACTGTCATTTGTTTTAAAATTGTTTATTCTATTATTTACTTATTATTTTCTGTATTGTTTATATTTTAATACAATGTAATATAATACAAAGGAAATATACTACTTTTATAAAAATATTATTTTTTAATCAAATTTTTATTATTATTATATAAACAACATACAGACTGTACCTAGAACATAATGCAGGGTTGAAATGTAGTAAACAATGGGTGAAACCATATACTCTTATTCTGTACCCTTGGCCTGATCCGCTTACCATGTGCTGTAGTCAGTCAAATTTCAAAGCAGCTCAGAGAAGCGACACTTAGCAGCCTCTCATGCATGATATGTATTAGAAAATAGGACATTAGTTGTTACATCTTGAAATCCTGTCACCTGATACACAATCAAGCATGACACAGATTTGCTCAAGACAAAACAATATGACTTTAACATGGTTTAATCTCTCTTTAAAAGCTTTCTCTTTTATAAAAGAATAATTTCTTTGGTCAACATCTATGGCACTTTAAAAAAATCACTTTCTTTTGTTTAAAAAACTACTAAACAACACTTTTTTTCCTGCAGGTTCCTTCAGATACCAAACCCACTCTTCACCTGGTGTGTGCAGTGAGACCCCAACCTGCTTCCCAACTAGGAGCAAGACCCAAAGTATGTTATTGCCATCTACCATTTATATTTGACTCTTACCATGTGCTAGGGCTTATTTAGTGATGTAAAAACATTCAGTATATTTATATTTTTAACATCCTGAATTTAGCTCCAAGACAGTATATTTGATCAGCTTACAGTGTGTTAAAGCTGAGATGTGGCGGCCTACTGTCTCCGTGCTTGTTTAATTTGGGTGGAGATATCACCACACAGCTGCTTGCTTCCTGTTCCGTGTTTGCATGTTTGCGTAAACCAACTGCTGTCGAATTTAGCATGAAGTTTCACAATGTCTCTTGCACCTGTTCTTGACTTCCTGCTCAAAAATCCCTTTTTTTTCTCTCTAATCTTGCGTACAGGTGACATCGACACACCAGCAGAGTTCACAGCCTTCCCCGCTAACTCCTAGCCAGTCTTCTGGACCATCTGTGACCTCTTTGCACTCCACTGATGGCCTAAGGCAGCGAGGTCATGCCACATTGCCTGATACTAGTGCCAACACATCTGCGTGAGTTCTTGATTTTTATTTTTTTATTAAATGGAGAGTCAGTGTTATAGCTAATAATGGGATAGTTCACCACAAATTGAAAATCTACTCTCTAATATACAGTAGTTAACATTTCAAGTGGATCAAAACATTTGATCAAAATTAAAACCATTTTATACCACTATTAAACCATTTCCATTCTTGCCTTTGGACAATTTCGAAAAACTTTTTTGATCCATTTAAAATGTTGACTAATGTTGAAAATGAGTTTCTTTCTTCTGTTGAACACAAAAAGAAGATATTTTGAAGAAAGCTGAAAACTTGTCAACATTGACATCCTTAATAGGAAAACAAATACTCTGGAAGTCAATGGTTACAGGTTTTCAGCTTCTTCAAAATCTATTATTTTGTGTTCAATAGAAGAAGAATCTCAAACTCCATTTCTTTTTTTGGGTTAACTATCCCTTTTGCTACTGTAAAAAAGTCGAGTCTGTTTTGAAGTATTGAATTAAATGTTTTCTTTGTTTGCAGGCCTGTAACAGCAGCGATGAACCACCCTGCCTTCCCCACATATTCTCTTTACAGTCCACAACAGCTGCTGTGGTTGCAGCAAATGTATGCTCGCCAGTACTACATGCAGTAGTGAGTACACCATCCTGTATGTTTACATACTCTAGTATAGGGCTGCATGATTTAAAGGAAAAGTTCACTAATAAATGAATATTTGATGTAAATTTTGTTTACTTCAGGACATTGAAGATTCAGCAGACTATTAAAAACTGTGGTCATTGACAATTCACAAAATGGCACTGATGAATCACTAAGAACCATGATTTTAG